TGTGTGAAAAAGAGGAAGAGATCTCCTATCCACTGGTGTACTTCCCAAATGGCCACAATGACCATGGCTTGACCAGGTCACAGCCAGAAACCAAAAGCTTCATCTGGGTCTCCCACGTCTGTGGCAGGGACCCAGAACTTGGGCCATCTTCTGTTGCTTCTTTCAGGACATTAGCTGGATGCTTGGATTGAAAATGGAGCAACTGAGACGTGAACTGGTGCCCATATGGGATGCTGGCCTCTCAGGTGGCAGCTTTACTGGCTTTGCCATAATGCTGGCTCCTGGGATATATTCTGATAGTCAATTGTATAAGGATTAGGTTTATCCTTCCAAGGCTTGTTTTTCTCCTTGCCTGCTTTCCTTCTGGGATCCTAAATACACATATATGTATATTAGAATACTTGATCAGGACTGGTCACTTAAACTTGGTTATTTTTGTCTCAGCTTTTTATTTCTGTTCATCATCATGTTTTAATTGCAATGATAAAGGAAGCAAAAATTTAAATAAATATGACTAAAACATTCCAACATTTTGATAAAAATTCAAAATTCACAGAAAAGTGAAGTTTTAAAAAACCCAGGCCTAAACACATGCACATACCTGTACAAAGAAAACCATACTAGGAACCTTGTAATTATTTCACTAGAGATCATTGCATAAGGAAAAATTAAGAACTGTCAATGGAAAGGCACAATATGTTCATAGGAACAAAGGTAAGAAATATCACAGACTTCTGGTCCCAAAAATTTCAAGTCAAAAGAAAGTGGAGCAGTATCTTTCAAGTGCTGAGAGGAAAAAAAAAAGTCACCCTAGAATTCTATATAGTGATAAAATCTTCCTAAAGGATATATGTCTTTCAACGATATATTTCCAATAAATGAATGTGAAATAAAGCCTTTTTGGCCAAATCAAAGCCAAGACAAGTTATTGCCATAGAAATAATATTACATAAAGTTCTTTAGCCAGAAGGAAAATGAAACCAGTTGGAAATATGGGACTAACAGAAGGAATAAGAATACTAGAAATGTTAAAGTGTAAAGAAATATTAAAGATTTCCTATTTTTAAATTTTTCTTTAAAAGATAATTGAGAGCTTAGAAGAAACAGTATGCTGTGACATGTACAGCATTTGTAGAAATAAAACTTACATCATAAATAGGGCAAATTATTCCCCAAATGGCATGATATTATTTGATGGTAGACTATGATAAGTTGAAGAAGCATATTGTAACCTAGAAGAATCACTAAAACCAAAAGATGTTGGAGATGTTTTAATACTATAAAGTAAAAAATTCATGCAAATATACAAGAAAAGATAAAAGGTAACAAAGAACAAATGGGGGCAAGAAGAACACAAATAACAATGTGTAAGTATGGTAATTTTTTTGAAAAATTATTTTTATTTATTTGAAGGAATTGAGGCAGGGAGAAAGAGTATATATGTGTGTTATCTCCCATGGGTAGTTTACTTCACTTCTAAAATCCCTACATCAGTCAGGACTGAGATGGACCAGGGCCAGAGCCAGGAGCCAGGAGCCAGGAGCCAAGAGCCAGGAGCCACGAGCCACGAGCCACGAGCCACGAATGAAATCCAGGTCTCCCATGTGGGAAGCAGGAACCCAATTACTTGAGCCATCACTGCTGCCTTCCAGGGTCTACTGCTTCCTCCCAGAGCCAGGGATCTAACCCAAGCACCCTCTAGGGCACAAACATCTTAACCACTAAGCTGAACACCCACTCCTGCAATGTGGTGATTTAAAATTCAACTATATCAATAGTTATATCAATGGCCTAAAAACTCCAATTGAAATTGATTTATGTATTTGATCAAGTCACTGTTTCTCAGAGTGTCCATTTCACTTCAACAGGTTTCCTTTTTGGTGCTCGGTTAGTTGTCACCAATCAGGGAGAACATATGATATTTGTCCCTTTGGGACTAGCTTATTTCACTCAGCATGATGTTTTCCAAATTCCTCCGTCTTGTTGCAAATGACTGGATTTCATTGTTTTTTTACTGCTGAATAGTATTCAATAGAGTACATGTCTCATAATTTCTTTATCCAGTCTACTGTTGATGGGTATTTAGGTTGATTCCAGGTCTTAGCTATTGTGAATTGAGGTGCAATAAACATTAATGTGCAGACAGCTTTTTTGTTTGCCAATTTCATTTCCTTTGGGTAAATTCCAAAGAGTGGGATGGCTGGGCTGTATGGTAGGGTTATGTTCAGGTTTCTGAGGATCTCCAGACTGACTTTGATAGTGGCTTAACCAGTTTGCATTCCCACCAACAGTGGGTTAGTGTCCCTTTTTCCCCACATCCTCTCCAGCATCTGTTGTTGGTAGATTTCTGCATGTGAGCCATTCTCACCGGGGTGAGGTGAAACCTCATTGTGGTCTTGATCAGCCCTTGTCCAGACTGTTGATGAACAACTTAATACTTTATCTCTTTTATTATTTTTTTGTTCTACTTGATACTATTGGTTGAACTCTGTAATTAACACACAATTATTCTAAAGTGTTTAAATTTAACTGAAAAGTGATCCCTGTTAAATATAAGAGTGGGAATAAGAGAGGGAGGAGATGTACAATTTGGGACATGCCCAATCTGACTTTCTCTAAATGGTAGAGTTAGAAACATGCCAGGGGATTCTAATTCAATCCCATCAAGGTAGCATGTACCAATGCCATCTCACTAATCCAAGTGATCAGTTTCACTTCACAATTGATCATAATGATAGGTCTAAGAGTCAAAGGGATCACATAAACAAGACTAGTGTCTGCAAATACTAGCTGATAGAATAAAAAAGGGAGAGAATGATCCAACATGGGAAGTGGGATACACAGCAGACTCATAGAATGGCAGATGCCCTAGACAGCACTCTGGCCTCAGAATCAGCTCTTAAGGCATTTGGATCTGGCTGAAGAGCCCATGAGAGTATTTTAGGCATGGAAAGCCAAGGCACTCTGGCAAAAAAACAAAAACAAAAACAAAAAACACCAAACCAAACCACAAAAACAAACAAACAAGCAAACCACAAACCCCAAATCCTAAATGAAAGATCTCTGTGAGTCAGATCCCAGTGGAAAGAACAGGTCATCAAAGAAGGAGGTATCTTTCTCTGAAGGGATGAGACAGCTTCCACTTTGACTATGACCTTGTCTAAATAAGATCAGAGTCAGCGAACTCAAAAGGCTTCCGTAACCTTGGCAACTCATGACAAGAGCCTAGGGTAATTACTGACGCCGTAACCCAGAGTGTCAATTTGTTAAGTCAACAAGTGTCACTGTGCACTTAATCCTCATGTAGGATCTCTGTCCTTAATGTGTTGTACAATGTGAATTAATGCTATAACTAGTACTCAAACAGTAATTTATACTTTGTGTTTCTGTGTGGGTGTGAACTGTTGAAATCTTTACTTAATATATACTAAATTGATCTTCGGTATATAAAGAGAATTGAAAATGAATCTTGATGTGAATGGAATGGGAGAGAGAGCGGGAGAGGGGAGGGTTGCAGATGGGAGGGAAGTTATGGGGGGAGAACCATTGTAATCCATAAGCTGTACTTTGGAAATTTATATTTATTAAATAAAAGTTAAAGAAAAGAAATTGATTTATGAATTTGAGAGGCGGGGGAGGGGGAGAGATTGATTAACTGTGAACTGGGCCAGGGCTGGCCTATGCCTGATGAGGGGAGCTGGGAATTCAATCCAAGTCTCCCATGTGGGTGGTAGAAGCTCAATTACTTGAGCCATCACCACAGCCTCCAAGAGGCAGGTATGGGAACCAGAGGCAGGTATAGAACCCATGCACTATGATATGAGATGAGGCCTCTTCAGCATCTTAACCAGCAGAACAAATGACTACCTTGGAACTCCAATTTTTCAAAGAATAATGAGGTAAGATCCTGTAATATTTTGTTTATAAGTTGTTCAATTTAAGTATAAAGATACAAGTAGAGGCTGGCACTGTGGCGTAGCAGGTAAAGCCAATGCCTACAATGCCTGCATCCCATATGGGCACCAGTTCGAGTTCCGGCTGCTCCACTTCCAATCCAGCTCTCTGCTGTGGCCTGGGAAAGCAGTGGGGGATGGCCCAAGTCCTTGGGAGAACCGGAAGATGCTCCTAGCTCCTAGCTTCAGATTGGTGCAGCTCCAGCCGTTGTGGCCATCTGGGGAGTGAACCAGCAGATGGAAGAACCCCTTCTCTCTCTCTGCCTCTGCCTCTCTGTAACTCTGTCTTCCAAATAAATAAATCTTTAAAAAAAGATACAAGTAAGTTAAGAAAAAAATGTTGAGCAAAGATATACTGTAAAAACACTAACTGTAAACAAGCTAGGATTGCTACATTGCTGTATTAGAGGAGGAACTGAATCAAGAGTACATTCTTAGTCTCGGTTGGGGCGCCGGTTCTGTCCCGGTTGCTCCTTTCCAGTTCAGCTCTCTGCTGTGACCCAGGAAGGCAGTGGAGGATGGCCCAGGTCCTTGGGCCCTGCACCCACATGGGAGACCAGGAGGAAGCACCTGGCTCCTGGCTTGGATTCAGCGCAGTGCGCCGGCCGCAGCGCACAGGCCGTAGAGGCCATTTGGGGGTGAAAAAGACCTTTATCTTTGTCTCTCTCTCTCTCTCTCTCTCTCTCTCTCTCTCTCTCTGTCTAACTCTGCCTGTCCAAAAAAAAAAAAAAAAAAGTACATTCCTTAAGGAGACAGGAAGTGAAGGGATCTGGAGCCAAGGTGGAGAGTCGAGTCTTTATAAAGAAGAAATTAACTTTGCCATTTGTCAAGATGAAAAGTGGAAGGGATACTTGGGGATGCAGCTGGGTTAGTGCATGTGATGGCAGAAAATAGAGGGCATGGATATGGTCTGCCATTGTGTATTCCAAATCCCAGATGTAGAGATCTGTGCTTCCTCAGGGCACTGAGCAGGTTGGAGAGTGTTCAGAGAGACAGTTTTAACTCCTCTCAACTAATGGTCTTTCTATTGGTCTGATTCTGCAATAGGGATGATAAACATTCTACATGGAATGGGTTTAAGGCTCCTTGCTCTGGGACATCACACTCCTTTTATGGTGAGATATGTTTAGTTTTTGAAAATGCGTAACATATTTTGTGAATAGAAAATATATCAGACGATGGACTATCTTGAATTGTGTGTGCTTGCTTTCAGCACATCGGCATGGCTCATAACTACAGGAACAGCAGTCAGGCTGTGCAAGCTGTCCGTGATGCTGGTTACGAAATCTCTCTGGGTTTGATGCCAAAGTCAATAGGTCCCCTAACATTTGTGTTCACAGGGACTGGAAATGTATCTAAGGTAAATTCCACCTTTCTTTTTACTGTAAAGCAGTCTGAAGCTCTGAAACAAACCTAAGTGATGTGGGCATTTGGTGGATATTTAAAATTGAAAGAAGGGTATTCTATTTCAGGCATTTTTCTTACCTATGAATTTTCCTCTTAGTGAAGAGCAATAATGGTCCAAACATTTTAATTGTTTTCAGTTAATTCTAAGCTACCACATGCTTGGGATGCTATACTTCTCTCTCTCCCTTTCTCCCTCTCCTTTTCTCTCTTTTTCAGTTTGAGTCATTATTAACAGTGTATAGGTTATCTTAGGCTAATGTGTTTTACCTCTATTACTGAGATGTCCAAATGTTTGGAAGTGACTCCAGGAGTTGCCAATAAGATACTAGGAAGATTAATTCAAGGCTGGAACTATACTTTCTTCCTCCTAAGGTGGTTTTGAGAATACACATGTAATCTTCCATATAAACTTGTAATTACCAAATAGATCTTTCTTCAAAGGAAATATTTCACAAACAGGATATCTTTGTTAGTTGTATATTGTGAAGTAGGCATCTTATTTTTTATCTTCCAGGAAACAGTGTCCTCATTTGGAGTAATTTTTGCAATGGGTTAAAAGTAAATATTTTTATATCCTCATTGCTAAACACTCTTGTTGCTAATTTGAGTAAGTTAGGTTAAAAAAAAAATAAAGCCCCCATAGCAATCGTGTTTTGGTTACACTGGAATGAAAGGTGACTCACGGCGGGCCATGTGCAAGCAGCTTGTCTAGAATTCTGTGTGTCTGCCTTGGCTACAGGGCAGAATGTGAAGTTATATAATTGTAGGGAAAATAGTGGGATATTTGCAGGAAATGGTGTTACCTTTTTCCCTGTTGTTGTTTAGATTTTTACTGATATATTACTTACAGGGAGCCCAAGAAATCTTTAATGAACTACCCTGTGAATATGTGGAACCCCATGAATTAAGAGAAGTTTCCCAAACTGGAGGTAAGGGGAGGAGAATGTAGCTGCATTTTTTACTGTTTTTAATAGTCCTATGTTGTAATATTCTATCATAGTGTATCCTTATAATTTGTCACCCACTATACTAATTTCTTTCTTCTCTGCAAGACCTCAGAAAGGTGTATGGGACAGTGTTAAGTCGCCATCATCATCTTGTCAGGAAAACAGATGGTGTCTATGATCCTGTAGAGTATGACAAATACCCTGAGCGTTACATAAGTCGCTTTAATACTGACGTGAGTATCCTATTTGAGACACTGTAGTTGGGCTATTAGGGAGAGAGATTATGCATGCGTATGTTGGTTCTCATTTCCTCATCTGGACTTGTGAATGCTTTGGATATCATGAGTTGGTCTTGGGAGATGCTGGTTTTTCACTAGAGCTTGGAATACTTGCTAGTGGCTTTGGTGGGTTCTGTGGGTTTGCCTCTACTTCATAGTCTCTTTTTTCACCTCAGTTCTGCATGTGCACAATTGGTCTAAACCTTTTCCTGTGGATATTTTCCGTATCATCTCAGTCTAATCAGTACTATTGGCGAAGAACAATGTCTGTGAGGTTTGATCTCAGCATCGGTTTCTCCTTTCCATAGCCAGAAATTGTGATCATGACTTCAGCCAGCCATCTTGAAATGCATGTGACTGAGTGCCTGGGGCCAGAGTGAAATAGTGTAGTTGTATAAGGACAGACTCATCTTCACTGTACGAAGAACCTATTTGTGAGTCAAATCACTGTGATGGGGCATGCTGGCCTTATCTTTCAAGAGTACAATTTATTTGTGTGTTCTTTAGTCATTGATCTTGTGGCAGTCCTCCAACAAAACAAACAATAAACACAAAAATGCCTATATTCCTTGTGAAATGAATGATTTAAGTAATTTTAACTATGTTTGAATAACAGCATTTTTAGGTTCTGGCCTACAATTTAGCTGTTTAAGTATGTACAGCACATTGCAAGGATTCTTTCCTTGAGCTTGAGGATGCTTGAGCTGCTTGAGGAACAAAAATTAGGAAACTAGAAATTTTTGAATCTAGTAAATTTCCATCCCTTCTTTTTTCCCCAATCACAGAAGTATTGGTGATTGGATGCATCCTAACACTTGTAATACATAGTTACCATGTATACATATACATATCTATAGCACATTTCTCCATGGAGCTTACAGATGTTATCTGACTTAATCTTCATAGCATTCTTTGGAGGAATGGGGTACGTATTATCCCCATCTGGCAGGTAAGGAAAATAGAGCCCAGAGAAGTCAAGGTAGCATGATTTCAATCACACAGTACGTGTTTTTGAGTTGGAAATAGAATTTTAGGTCACTTGACTCTGTTCTTCCCTTTTCTATTAAATACATGATAAAATAAAAATGATAATATAGTATTTACTATGTTCATATATTTATTTCTCCTGGGGTAATTCCACAATGAAATATGGGTGGGTCTTTAATATCTTCCTTCAAAGATGACCACTGACCTGGAAAATAAGAAAGTCCTGTTAATTATTTCTCATGGACTTTGCTGGTACCTCTCATTCAGCAGGTTGTATTGGAAGAGAAAGCCATTTTCTATTTTGTTGAACTGGGAATTTGCTTTACAGATTGCACCCTATACAACTTGTTTAATTAATGGGATCTACTGGGAACAAAACACCCCTCGCCTACTAACCCGCCAAGATGCCCAAAGTCTCCTAGCCCCAGGCAAGTTCTCAGTGACTGGAGTTGAAGGCTGCCCTGCATTACCACACAAGTAAGGAGATTACTTCAGTGACAATGGCACTTTTTAATCGGCAGCATCTGTTATTAAGAGATCAGAGAATATGTTATACCGACACATCACAGGGCTTCACTGTTCTTTTAGATTTTATTTGTTGGGGCCGGCACAGTATGTTAAGCTTCCACCTTCAGCACCAGCGTCCGGTATGGGAGCCAGTTTGTGTCCCGGCTGCTCCACTTCCAATCCAACTCTCTGCTAATGGCCTAGGAAAGCAATGGAAGATGGTCCAAGTGCTTGGGCTCCTGCACCCACATGGAAGACCCAGAAAAAGCTCCTGGATCCTGGCTTTGGATTGGCCCAGCTGCAAAGTGGGGAATGAACCAGTGGATGGAGACCTCTCTCTATGCCTCTCCCTCTCTATGTCTGTAACTCTGCTTCTCAAATAAGTAAATCTTCAAAAAATTAAATTTTATTTGCTTATTTTTATTTATTTGAAAGGCAGAGAGAGAGAGAGAGAGGTCTTTGATTTGTTGGTTTACTCCCCAAGAATCGACAACAGCCAGGGCTCAGTCAGGATGAAACTAGGACCTTAGAGCTCAACTGGGGTCTCCCACATGAGTGGCAGGAACTCAAGTACTTGAACCTTCACCCACTGCCTCCTTAAGAGTTCATTATCATAAAGCTGGAATTTGGAGCTGAGCTGGGACTTGAACCCAGGCACTGACATGGGATTCAGGTGTCCCAGGCAGCATCCTAACTGCTGTACCAAATGCCTGCCCCAGGCTTGATTTTTAATGACTACCTGTCTGCTTTATCTTATTCAGCCTCCTTGCAGCACTTGACACATTCCTGTCCCTGCTTGGAACTCTCTGCTTTTGCCTTCTGTGACTCTACACGCAGCTCCAAATCAACCTCCTCAGAGACAACTTCTCTGAATCCTCATTCCCTATCTATTCTGTTTCTCTCTTCTTTTCTATTCATGATCATTTATTTTCTTGTGTCTATGATTTTTCACTCTCCTAATAGAGCTTAGTCTCTGGATCCTTGTTTACCTTAGCTATAAACACCAGGACTTAGCTGATGTATAAAGGGCATTCATATAATTAATAATCAGTTAGTACTTGTGGAACACCTGGTCTATCTGGAATTTTTTTTGCTAAGCTGAAGGATAGAGAAGAGTAAAAGATAATGTTTGCTGCCCTCAGGCATGCAGCTGGCATCACATAAATGCCAAGGGAATGTCAAGAGCAACCGTATCACAGGAGTTTAGCCCAAAGTGGGAGCACTGGGCTCAACAAAGTCTGCAAATGGAGGAGTGGGGAGAAGGAGAATTTCAGGTGATAGGATTGATGCTTGATAAATACCTGCCTCCAAAATACAGTTTAAGACTGTGACAGTCTAGTTCTCTTGTAGATTCTTGTAGGCTGGTGGTGATTAGAGTTGGCAACAGAATTTCATCTAGCTTAAAGACTTTTGAATGTTGGGCTCAGACTTTTGCTCATATTTTAAAGATCCTGTACTTACATGAATTTTGTAGTACTAAACACAGATAGTGTAGCTGAACATTTCTGATTATTTAGAGATGGTTAACTAGGTTAACTTTAGTTTTTTTGTTAACGATTTCTATAGGGAAGGGATTTTCGTTTTTGCTTCATTTTTTCCACCCTCTACCTGCCTCTCTTAATTTTCTTTTGTTTCTCTCCTCTCCTCTCCTCTCCTCTCCTCTCCTCTCCTCTCCTCTCCTCCTCTCCTCTCCCTCTCCCTCTCCCTCTCCCTCTCCCTCTCCTCTCCCCTCCCCTCCCTCTCCCTCTCC